TGGGATTATGTGAATTTATTGTTAGCATCTTTTGTGCTACTGTTACCATTTATTGAAAAATAACTTTTTTGTATAAATTTAATCTGAAAAAATGTTTTATACAAATTTAGAGTCACCTAACAAACTAAAATATACCCATGGAATGTAATTATGTAAACTATACCCATTGAATGTAATTTCATAACATCCGTTTGTCATATATGAAATTTTCCCAAAAAATAATGTAACAGTTACATTCTCGTACACCTTCACATGCAAAGCCCACCCCTCACTAGCCCAATACGAAAAAAAAAACAAATAAATTATTAACTCTTGGCCCATTCTTCTCTTTATCCTGACCTATATATTATTGTGATGTAGGGTTTTCTAATCGATCCCCTATCATTTTCTTTTCCCCTTTTTTTCGCGCCGCTATCATACTTTTACCTTTTGTTCTTTCTTAAATTTCTGCTTAGCTATGCTTCCTCCTTGGACTAATATTTGCCTCTGTCTTCTCTTGCTTTGGGTTATCAGCATGATCAATGATGTTAGTCACCTTGTCTGCCGTTGATTCACCTAACAAGAGTAAGAACTCAAAATTTTTAGTTTTCTCTTCCTTCTTGTTACTGACGGTCTCCCCTTTTTATAGTTGTGTTCTCAGGTTCCATGGGTTTGAAGTGTTTCTACTTTTTTTCGAATCTTGGCTAATCATGGAGAACCTGCTCATTTTGGTGTGTTTATCCTTATTTACTATTTGCATCTTCTGACTTGTTTTTCTGCTTTCTGATTTGTGTTTTCCCGTAGGTAGTTTGTGACAAGGTACATGGGAAGCTTTGCACCATTATCCTTCGTTGATGATAAAGTACATTTCCTCCAGGTTCAATAGTTTTATCTTGCCACCAGATGCTCTCATTAGGTCGAGTCCTTTTTTGTTGGTTGTTAAAGTATAAGCTAATTTAGAAAATTATACTTCAAATATAGAATTTTGCTATCAAAGAGTTAATATTGTCGAGTTGTTTTTCTGCAATCTTGTTCTCATCTATCAAGAGTAAGTATATTACAATCTCATTTTTTCTTTTAACCGTGTTGTCTGGTCCTTTGTTCTTTACATTTGTGTTAATTCTCTGTATATAGTGAATCTTGCCCATTATTCTAGATTTTGTCTAATGGAAGATATCTTAAACACTGAGTGTTCACCTCTTAAATACATAGAAGGGGTGGTCATTAACCTAGTATTTAAGATACAAAGGGTAAGATCCACTATATCAGAGAACACAACTATAAGAAAGAAGGGACCAGACAACAGAATTAAAAGAGAAAAAAAAGAAATAGAGATTAGAGTATTTTCACTCTTGATAGATGATGACAAGACCGCCTAAAGAACAATTCAAAAACATTGATTACTAAGAGCATGAGGAAGAAAAATTGTTTGTCTTCCATGGCAGGAGCATTTTTAGTTGGAAGAAATGAAGAGTTTAGTGGGAGAGGGTGGATTAGAAAATCGTAAATTATAGGAACGTGTAAATGGGGAGTAAGTTTCAAGATTTATTTGAAATCGGTCTACCTTTTTAATTTATTCATTTTGTGTTAATGAGTTTTGCATTTGATTTGCTAAATTATCAAATAGAGCAAATCAAGTACAAAAGTCATTTGGGTCTATTGTTTGAATCCAATAACACAAAATTAACGAATATAAAAGGGAGGCTCATTTTAGACAAAGTAGGAAACTTTCTCTCTGTATACATGTTCCTATAGTTTAGAGTTTCCTAATCCGCCACTGTCACTAAGTTCGTGTCTATTTTATCTTACAAATTCTCTCGTCGTGGAAGAACCAACTTTTTTGCTTCCTCCTACTTTAGGTCTTCAATTGTTGAATTGTTCTTTAGGCGATTTTGTTCATCAGCTATCAAGAGTAAGGATACTCTGATCTCCTTTCTCCGTTGTGATTTTCTTTTACACATTTCTTAAAACATATTAATTAGAAGAAGATTATAATCATTTTAATTTTATTAGTATTTGAACAATTGTAAAATCACTTCATCATTGAGGTGTTTGTAGTCTTCAAGAACAATAACGTATGAAAAATGAGTAATAAATAATTGAGTAAGAGGAAGCACAGTTGTTGATTCTTTCACGGTGGGAGTATTTTTCAGGA